GCACTCCAGTCTGGGCAACAGAGTGAGACTCCAACTCAAAAAAAAAAAAAAAAAAGAATGAAGATGTTAGACAAAAGGCCCAAGGTTAGATGAACAGATTAGTTATAGGGGAAAAGAGGAAGAGGAATCCTCTCTTCAGCACCTCAAAAGAACAAGAACACAAATAAACATTCAGCAACCTTGAGGGTGGTTTCAGGCAGTTGGAGAGTCATAAGCCCTCTGGGCTAGGGTAGGCAGGGAGTTCCTGTTGACTAGCTTCCTTTCTCTGTAAAAAGGGCAGTGGTGGGAGTTACCTACTGAGGGTAAAGGAACGTAAGGAGCATTCATTGGGGGAGTAAGAAGATTATGTTGAGCTTAAAAGAGCAAAGGTCCTGAACAGCCTCTGTGTGCAGTATGCTTATAAATAAGAATGAAAAAGTGCGTGTCAGAATAAAAAAGGCTTTTCCAGGCAAAGATGGGGCAGCTTATAGACAACATCCTGTAGCCTAAGATGGAAGGAGCTGGAAGATCTTATGGCACCCTATGTTGGGGATTGGGGAAGCCCAGTGTGGAGGACTGTAAGGAGAGGAAAGTTGTGACCCCAGATGAAGGTGACTAATGACTAGGGACCCTGAGCAGGGATACAGTATACCTGGGCTGAGGCCTGGTGGAATAGGTGATCTGATAAGGGGAAATTGGTTATGGAGTCATACCTGAGATCCTGATGGAGTGGGAAATCAGGATCACCTGGATGGGCAGTGGAGAATAAATAGAGCAGAAGTGTAGTATTCAGTACCTTCTTGACTGTCAGGTCTTAATCTTTCTATCTCTCACGTTTCTCAGGTGCTGGTACAGGGCTGCCTCTTGGACCCTTCCCAGAGGGAGGTGTTCCTGCAGCAGGTGTATGAGCAACTCTGTCTCTTTGAGGATAAGGTGGCCACGATGTTGCAGCAGCAGTATGATCCCCAGAGCCAGGTATGTGGGAAAATGGGCAAAGGCAACTTAGAAAGAGGAGCAGCTAAGGATAGAGGACAGAGAGGAGGAATAAGTTGAATAGAGAGAAGAAAGAGGGCAGAAAGGGGCTATGAACAGGGCAACATGAGCCCTGGGTAGAAATGCCAGTGAGTGCTCACGATGGGCTCCCTCTTGGAGGAGGACTCAGATACAGTCCCCCAAACATAGATTCCCACTGGAGGAAAATCGTAAAAGCCATTTGTTGCATTTTTTCAGTTTTGGATCTTCTCCCCCAGTGGATTTGAGAAGGCAATTATGGGTGGCTTTGATCACTAATTAGTGTTTTGTACTATCAGAGATAAAGCTGCTTGGGTTCATTAGAATGCCCTGACTCATTACTTTGGGGACTCCAGAAGTAGCTAGGCAAATGACAGTTCGGTATGCCTCATGGCTGGTAATATCATTTGATTGAATATAAAATATTTCATAACAGTGATGGAAAAATATGTAAAGGGACCCTTATTGGCAAAAGACGGAAAAGCCTTGCCTCAGTACAATGTGATCCTTCTTCTGGTCCTAAACTCACTTCCTATCTGAGATTCAGTACCTAGGCACACACTGGGGGAAATAGTCAGGACTCAGCTGCATAGTAGAGGGATTGAAGTCCTCAGAGGATTAGGTCTGTCTGGCCTGGGCAATGCTGAGCTGTAAATTCTGGCTTTGCTGTGGATGGGGCAGCAACACCAACTGTCCCACTGTGCTTTTCTGTAAATTTGGGGTCAGGCAGAAGACCAGTCTCCAGACTCGGGGGAGCCACTGGGCCGGAAGGTTGGAGTCTCCATGGTGACAGCTGATCTTGGGCTGGTCAGTATGATTCGTCAGGGCATCTTGGCGCTGCAGTTACTACCCTCAAACTCTAGTGCAGGTCAGTAGAAGGAGTACTGGTGGGATTGGGGAAATAGAGATTCAAGACTGGTGGGGGATATCAACAAAGATAGAAGTTTCATGGAACCAGTGGGCCTCAGGGAAGAGGATCTGTTTCCTTGTTTGCAAAATATAAGTCTGTATTAATGCATATGTCAAGAAGTCAGCTCTGACAACCATCAGGGACCCTAGAAGCATTAGAGCTCTGAAAACATCATTTAAGAGGAAGAAGCATGAGGGGAGAGGGAAGAGTGTTGGAGGTTTATAAAACACATTCCTGGGCAGACACTGAGCTCAGAGCTTATTAGGGTCCTGTCATTTGAGTGCCTCCCTGTGACTTTGGTCTAGCCAGTGTCTTCAGGTCTGAATTCAGCGTTTCCTGCTTCAGGTATAATTGTGATCACAGATGGGGTGACCAGTGTCCCTGATGTTGCTGTCTGTGAGACGCTGCTGAACCAGCTTCGCAGTGGCACCGTGGCTTGTTCCTTCGTGCAGGTGAGGTCTTTTTAGGAAGGAGGAAAGAGATGTGGGATACCTTACAAAGTTGAGTGTGGTCAGCAACTTTCTTACAGGTGGTGATGTCCTAGATAAAGTCAATGGCTTAGTTACATGGGGGGGAAGGAGTCATGTCTAGAACAAGGTAGATGGCAGTGGTAGGAGAGGACTATCATCTTTGTCCTGTTTCCTTGGGATTTGAGAAGCAGCATGTTATAGTAAAACTACAGAATTTGAAATCTGACAGCTCCAGTCCCACCTCCCCCAGTAGATGAGTTATTATTGTTTTGGTTGCAAGGGTCAGAAAACCCAGCTCAAGCTAGCTTAAGTAAAGGAGGGAAAGATATATTCAGAGAACTGCAGCTAATTTGCACTGATGGACTATAGGGTAGGTGGCAAAAGCTGTGGGAAACAAGATTGGAGGGATAGGCACAGACCAGAGCATGAAAAGCTGGTTCTGCTGTATTAAGCAGTTTAAGCATAAGTCTGTAGGTGATGCAGCTATATTGAAGAAAAGTCACTAGTTGGGTTTATGTTTTATAAAGGTCACTCTTGCTGCTGGGTAAGAGCAGGAGTGGAGACAGGGAGGCTATTATTGCAGTAAGAGAGGATCAGGGCTTAAATTGGGGGCAAGAGGAATGATAAAATGAAGAAGTAGAGTTAGCCTGACTTCATGATTAGCAAGGGGAATGGGGGAGAAGAAGGGGTTAAAAATGTCTCCAAGTTTCTGACTTCAGTAAATCTGGGTGGCAGGTAAAGCAAACAGGAAGAGAAGTAAGTAGTTGGGGTAGAATGAGGATAAGATGAAGAATTTGGGTTTGTTGCTATTATCTTTGAGGTGGCTGTGGTTCAGCTTTGTATAGCAGTTAAGAATATCACCTTTGGAGTTACACATGCTGAATCTGAGTCCTGAATCTGCTTATTAACAGTGTGACATTGGGCGTATCACTTCACCTCTTGGTCAGATTCATTTGTAAATGGAGATTGTAAAACTACCTACCTCACCGGGTGAGATGATGGATTTAAAGTACTTGGCATAGTACATAATAACTTAATAAATGGCTACTATTGGTAGCAGCTAGCAATTGAATGTATAGATCCTGACACTCAACTAGTTGAGAGACAGAGATTTAGGATTTGTCAGGCTAGATGGTAATTGAGAAAAGAAGAGGGTCCTGGAAGAACTTTGGGAAACACCAATGTTTAAAGGTCTTTCATAGGAAGGGGACCTAGCATGGAATGAAGAATCAGATAAGAACCAAGAGATTCTGGTGTCAGAGAAGTCAGAGTTTTTGGAAGAGAGGGAGTAGCTAACATTGTAAGAGGCAATAGAAAGATCAAGTAAAATGAGGAATGTAGAGTACCCACTGGATCTGGTGATTAGGAGGTCAGAAGAATATTTTTCATAGCCATTTCAGTGAAGAGGTGAGGGAAATGACTGCAATGGATTAAAGAGTGGACAGAAGAGAAGGAAGTAGAGACAAGTGTTGACATAAGAAATTTGACCATTCAGATCAAGAGGAGAATGAGAGAGAAAATGGTAACCAGAGGGAAGTTCAGGGTGGAAGGAGGAGTGTTCTGTTTGTTTTTTAAGCTAGCGACTTAAGCATGTTTCTAAGGATGAAGAAGAGTTTGAAAATGAGGGTAAGAAAAGGAGTTTGGTATAGTAAAGTCCCTAAATTGACAGGAGGGCACTGGCTTAAGAAACAGATTGAGGGATTCTTTTGGAGTGGGCCAAGTGTCCTTTCTTTCTTTGAGACTGGAAGGTAGAAGTGAAGATATAGATACACTCTGGCAAGGGCCTCTGATTTCTCTCTGAAGTGAAAGATGAAGCTAAGTACTGTTAAGGAAGGGAGGCCAGAGTTGGGAAGAAAGAATAGTGTTGAGGACAGCCCCGAAGGACTAGCCAGGTTGGATGCCATATGTTTTGATGTGGTGCCAGCCTACTCAACTGTACAGTTTTCTCCATTTGGGCCCCACAGGCCAGTGTAGAGGTTAGGATTCTAGTTGGAATTTTAAGAGAAAAGATTGAAGAGGTCAAGATAACTTATTAAGTTGCTTGAGCATAGCGTCCAGGCTGGGCTGAGAAAGGAGGGTCATGATAGTGTAGACAGTCCTGGAGAGAGCAAAGGCTCAAGGCCTGGCATTCTCCGTGAGGTCAAAGAGAAGCAATAGGAGGAGGCAGGGAAAGAAGCTAAAAGGATAGTGCTGTATGTAATCAGTGGGATGTGGCAATTTGAAATTGCACAGATGAATTTGTTCCAGGTGAAGCCATGGGCCAGTGTGTAGTCGGCAGGTAGGTGAGTGGAATAGAGAAAGTTACTAGAGATGAGAGTTAAGGAACTGAGGGCAGAGATTTAAATGAGTCATCTAGAGCAGGTCTGCAAACAGTTTCTTTTTTTCTTTTTTTCTTTTTTTTTGAGTTGGAATCTCACTCTGTCGCCCAGACGAGTGCAGTGGCCGCTCCCGGCCACCACAGCCTTGACCTGCTGGGCTCCGGCGATCCTTCTGCCTCAGCCTTCCAAGTAGCTGGAATTACAGGCATGAGCTACCACGCCCGGCTGATTTTTTGATTTATTGTAGAGATGAGATCTCGCCAAGTTGCCCGGGCAGGTCTCGAACCTGCGGGCTCAGGTAATTCACTCACCTCAGCCTCCCAAAGGCACGGGATTACAGGCTGAGCCACCGAGCCCGGCTTTGCAAACAGTTTCTATAAAGGCCAACCAGTAAATATGTAAGCCTTGTGGGGCATTTGGTCTGTTCCAACTACTCAGCTCTGCTATTGAAGCACAAAAGCAGCCGTAGACAATATGAAATGAATAGGTATGGTGGTGCTTCAATAAAACTTTCTTTTAAAATAAATACGCTAGATATGGCTCCCAGGGTATATGTAATTTGCCAACTTGCCATCTACAGCTTTGGTACTTGAAATGTCCACAGACCAGCAGCATTTGGCATCACCAGAAAGTTGGCAATGCAGAATCTTAGGCCTCACCCCAGACCTACTGCATTTTAACAAAATCCCTGGGTGTTTTGTATGCACCCTAAAGTTTGAGAAACACTTTGTTAGAGACACACTGAAATCTCTCAGGATGATGACAGGAAGCCAGTGAAACAGTTGCCAAAATCTTTAGTGAAGTGGATTGGAGGGGCATTTGATGTTGAGGATGGTATGGCCAGATGGCATGGGCTTCAGACAGAAGGGCTCAAGGAAAGAAAGGCATAGAGCAGTGGTCTGTCTTGGGAGAACACTGGCCCACTTTCCACTCTGGTCCAGGGAAAGGGAACTGCCACCCAGCCCATCACTTCCTTTCCTGTTCTTCCTTCTCCTATGTCTACAGACCTAGGGCTCTACTTGCTTACTTTCTCCAGGTGGGAGGAGTTTACTCTTATGACTGCAGTTTTGGCCACGTGCCCAATGTGGAACTGATGAAGTTCATCGCAATGGCAACATTTGGCTCGTACCTATCCACTTGTCCTGAGCCTGAGCCAGGCAACCTGGGTCTGACTGTCTACCACCGGGCATTTCTCCTCTACTCTTTCCTGCGCAGTGGTGAAGCACTGAACCCTGAATATTACTGTGGTGAGAGGCAGACTGGGTGGGTGTGGAAAAGAGAATATAAAATGGGCCCAGAGGTTTTGCAGTTTGTTCTAGAGTTTGGGTTCTTGGAGGACGGGAAGTATAATGGGCTGGCTACTCTGGCACTATTTTCTTGCAACGATTTCAGTGTAGCCTCTCCCCCACTACAGATCTGCCAGCTGGCAGATAACCACTTTCCCCTTCCTTGTCCTCACTGGTCTTCCAGGCTCTCAGCACCGGCTATTTAATGAGCACCTGGTCTCTGCGAGCAGTAACCCTGCCCTGGCCTTGCGCCGGAAGAAGCACACTGAGAAGGAGGTGCCAGCTGACTTGGTTAGCACTGTGTCTGTGCGGCTTCGAGAAGGCTACAGTGTTCGAGAGGTCACACTGGCCAAAGGTAAGGTCATTAGGCCCTGTTGTAAGCCCACAGATCTCAAAGAATGTGTGTGTGGGAGGAACTGCTGAACAAAGAGGAAGACCCACATGTATCACGCAGAAAGAGTATCACAGTGAAGACTCTGCTTGTCGTTTGAGTCAGTGGGCTTTGAGTTGCATTCAGGGCTTAGTTCTCTTAGCATGTAGCTTCCCAGTCTACCTCCTGTTGCCCAGGGTGAAGCAGCTGAGAGTGATGTGGTGTCCTGAACTTGGCTTGGTTTTCATATTATTCCTGCAAACTTGTTGTTGTGTCAGTTGGCAGGCCCTGAGCCTGAAATCTGTGGAACAATGCTTGGAACCTTTGGCCAGGCTAGAGTTCCATGAGGTAGGTGGGGGTTTTGGCCAGAACTTAATCGCAGACCTAGAGTCCTGTGCCGTCTTCCCTAGCTGACCTTCCTGCTTCCCCTTCAGGAGGGTCCCAGCTGGAGGTGAAGCTGGTGTTGCTGTGGAAGCACAACATGCGCATTGAGTATGTGGCTATGGCACCCTGGCCCCTGGAGCCCGAGAGCCCAAGAGGGACACGAGTGGAAGTGACAATGGAAGGCGGCTATGACATTTTGCATGATGTGTCCTGTGCACTAAGGCAACCCATTCGCTCACTGTATCGTACTCACGTTATCCGACGTTTCTGGAACACACTGCAGAGGTGAATGAGGTCACAGTGAGTGCTGCCCCATTTGTTGGTGAAGGGACAGATTGGTGGAGCTGCGAGAGTCACCCAGAGCACCAGGCTTGTGTCCAGGGTCCCATGTCCTCCTGAGGTTTCCCTTTTTTGCACCCAGCAGAGTCAGATGTGGCTCAGGCTTGGTCCTTGTTCTGCAGCATCAACCAGACAGACCAGATGCTAGCCCACCTTCAGTCCTTCTCCTCCGTGCCTGAGCACTTCACGCTTCCTGACAGCACCAAGAGTGGAGTGCCACTCTTCTACATCCCTCCTGGCTCCACCACCCCGGTGAGTGGCTCTGATGTATAGTCACCCCATTTCATGCCAACTTGGATTGGCACAGCATCTTGAGTTCAGAACAGTCTTCTGTTCCCTTCTCTCTCAAGTCTGGTGCACCTAAGCCAGAAGTCTAAGCTTTAGACTTGAGAGCATCTCTTCTCCCTCTTCCTAAGGCCCCAGGGAAGAAGAGGATCTACAAAGAGAGGCTGTTCTAAATAGCCTTGGGAGGCAGAGGCAAAGACTTGCAGAATGTCTAGGTGTTGGTATCCCAGCAGACTGTGAGCCCCCCTCGCCTCATCTCCACATGGCCTCCTCTGGCTTCCCCTAACCACCTTCACTTGTTTCTGACCACTACCAGCCACTGTGAACAGTATACTTACTGAAGACCACAGCTTTCTTTGTCCTGTGCTTGCTTACTCTCAGTCCACACTGTTAACCTAACACTTATGGGCAGGTAGCTTACGAGGGGAGACCCCCCAAAAAACTGGAATTACTTGTAGGCCCCTTGTAGTACAGACTTTCCCCACTAGGTAAGTGTTCTAGGAACCCATCAGCAGCAGTGTATCAGCTAGCATTGTAAGTGAAGGTGGGCTAGCATCTAGCCTGTCAGCTTCCATGAATTTTTTTTTGGAGATTCTTTGAATGCGTTTGCCCATTTCATGATGGGTGATTTATGAGTTTACCTGCCCACACCACACTGAGTGTTTAGCAGTTTTTGACCAAAAATGGCATGATTCCCACCCCCCACCTTCCCTGTCTTTCCTCAAGCAACTTTTTTTTGTTTCTCCGGATGAAAAAAAGTCCTCAAAGGGAAATATTTTGCCAGTGTGGAAGAGGTGAAACAAAAATGGCAGAAACACTAAAAGACATCAAAATTGATGAGTTCAAAAGTTTTGAGCAGTGGAAAAGCATCTCAATAGATGTATTGCATCAAACATCGAGTACTTTGGAGGTGACTGAAGTTAAAGCATATAAGAATAAATACACAGCCGGGCTCGGTGGCTCAGCCTGTAATCCTGCGCCTTGGGAGGCTGAGGTGAGTGGATTGCCTGAGCCCGCGGGTTCAAGACCCGCCTGGGCAACTTGGTGAGACCTCATCTCTACAATAAATCAAAAAATTAGCCAGGTGTGGTAGCACGTGCCTGTAGTTCCAGCTACTTGGAAGACTGAGACGGAAGGATCACCGGAGCCCAGCAGGTCGAGGCTGTGGTGGCCGGGAGCAGCCACTGCACTCCAGTCTGGGCGGCAGAGTGAGACTCCAACTCAAAAAAAAAGAATAAATACACTATTTTTTATAAACAAATTCCAGGTTTTTTTTGGATCTCCCTACATATGCTAGTATGTAGTGGCCTCATCCTGAGGTCCTGCCAACTCAACAACCTTCCTCCCAAGTCAGTGATATCTGGGCAGGTTCCATCCTTCTCCTGGATTCAACTTAAAAGGCTACACAGTCTATCCCTGGGCTCAGCCACACTAATCCAGCCTTCGGCCAGGCATGGTAACTCAAGCCTGTAATCCCAGCACTTTGAGAGGCCGAGGCTAGAGGATTGCCTGAGCCCAGGGATTCGAGACCAGCCTAGGCAACTTGGTGAGACCTCGTCCCTACAATATATCAAAAAAATTTAGCCGGACATGGTAGCACAGCCTGTAGTTCCGACTACTTGGAAGGCTGAGGTGGAAGGATCCTCTGAGCCCAGCAGGGTGGTGCTGGGGTGGCCATGAGCATGCCACTGCACTCCAGCCTGGGTGGCAGAGTGACACTCTGACTCAAAAAATTAAAATTAAAATAAACTAATCTCGCCTTCATAGTGAAAGCAGTGTTTGCCTCTATCCCAGGCTGGGCTGTAGCCTTAGCCTTTAACCATAAACCATCACTCTCTCTGACCCTGTGAACTGAGTCTGCCCATGGTTCTGTTTGCTGTTTGGCGTTTGTTTTCTGGTTCTTCACAAAGGTTCCTATAGTACTGTCCTTCCCGTCCCCAGGTGCTCTCCCTTCAACACAGTGGTTCCGACTCATCCCATGCCCAGTTTGCTGCCTACTGGAAGCCAGTGCTGTCCATGGATGCTAATTCATGGCAGCGCTGGCTGCACATGCATCGCCTGGTGCTAATCCTGGAGCACGACACGTGGGTACTACCCTCAGTACTGGGGCCATAGTTGGGGTGGAGGAGTAGGGGACAAGGAATTATGGGAGGGCAAGCAGTAGATGAGCCCTTACCAATGGTAGCCAAGGAAAAACTATGGCCCTTTCCCAGTCTTCCTGCTCATTAGCCCCCAATAACTCAGGCAGGACATCGAAGATAGAGGTAGCAGTCTATTCTTTTCCCTCAAGCTTGGGGCTGTGAGGTCTGACTCTAGTCCACACCCTTCCTTCCAGACCAGTCCCCAAGCACTTGCACACCCCGGGCAGCAATGGGCGCTACAGCACCATCCAGTGCAGGATCTCCCACTCCTCACTGACCTCTCTGCTTCGGGACTGGAGCAGCTTCGTGCTAGTCGAAGGCTATTCATATGTCAAGCTGCTCTCCAGGTGAGCAAAGTGATATATATCCCTTACCCTTCTCCCACCACCTCATCCCAGGTCCATTCCTTTAACCCCAGACCACACCCCCTACTTCCTCCTACCCTGAGACTGCTCACTGACTCCCATTTTTCCTCAGTGCCCCAGACCAGCCCCCCTCCTCCTTCTACATGGTCCGGATCATTTCCAAGGCTCCATGCATGGTTCTTCGCCTGGGTTTTCCCATTGGCACACCAGCACAGGCCCGGCACAAGGTAAGCTGGGCCCTGTCAGACTCCCAGACCAAGGAGCCATGGGATGTAGATTAGTTCCATCTCCCTAAGCCTCACAGGGGTAGGTTTAGTAGAGAGAGGAGCCCCCGACCAAGTAAGGCTGAAGTTGAGGATTCTCTTGCCTTGTTAGGAGCTCCCCTCATGGAGAAGACGGGAGTAGGTGGATCTGACCACATTTTCCCCACAGATTGTGTCAGACTTGCAGGAAGAGATCCTGCGCCTGCGTTTCCCCCATCGGGTGCAAAGCAAGGAGCCAACACCCAAGGTGAAACGAAAAGGCCTGGGGGGCACTGGTGGGGGCAATTCTCCCTCCAAGTCACCCCCCACACTGGGGCCACAGCAGGCCCTGTCCGACCGGCCCTGCCTTGTAGTCTTACATAAGCCACTGGACAAACTTCTCATCAGGTTGGTTTTGAGAGTGGGGAGGGGGCTCAAAGTCATGTGGGAGGTGTATGGCTTAGTTGGGTCTGAGTAGAGGTAAACTGGAGAGTTGCTCCATTTCCTAGGTATGAGAAGCTACCCCTGGACTACCGGGCACCCTTCTTGCTGACACTGGAGCCACCAGGGCCACTGCCCTTGGTGTCAGGCCGCTCAGCCTCTTCCAGCCTAGCATCACTGTCCCGCTACCTTTACCATCAGCGCTGGCTCTGGAGTGTCCCATCAGGACTGGCCCCTGCACTGCCACTCAGTGCCATCGCCCAGCTCCTCTCCATCCTCACTGAGTATGTCACTCGAGCCTTCCAGGCTACTTGGGGCAGGGAAAGAGCAAGTATAGACTGGGTTCAGACACTGGCAGAAAGACTATACCACACACTTTCTCCAATCTTCAGTCTCAAGTACAGAGTATCACCTGCTACTGCTCTTCCCCTCTACTCCCCTCCTCAATTTATTTTGGCTTCTGCTCTTAAATGGACCTGTTATACCCTGAGAGACCACTCTTCTCAACAGGGCCATCAGGGTACTCAGCTCCTTGAGGTGGGTGTGTGAGGGGAAGGGCTGTACTCTGAGTGTCTTCTTTTCTCATTATGGCTCTGTCCTTACCTTTGTGGGGCTTCAGAGTACGACTTTCTGAAGGGTTCCACTTCGCCTGCAGTGGAGAAGGAATCATCAACATGGTCCTGGAGCTCCCAATTCAGGTATATGCCATCTCATGCTTCTTCACACCCAAGGTCTATCATAGTCCCAAGAAGAGCTGGGTTGGCACTACTGGAAACTCTGCCTCACAAGGACTGTGTGGCTGGAGGATCCAAGCCCTGAGGCCAGGGTCTTAGGACAGTGTGGTGAGGGAGATTAGAGTTCCAAGGGCCAGAGCTAGGTCAGGTCAGATCTCTGCATTGGCTGGGATTTGCCCAAGATCTCCCATTTTGCCCACAGAATGAACCTCCAGGGCAGGCTGCAGCTGAGGAGAAACACACGTGTGTCGTCCAGTATATCCTCTTCCCCCCACACTCTACCTCCACCAAAGACAGGTGAGACAGGCCCACTCTGCAGAATCCCCCTTCTCCCCACTGTCCTCTAAAAGCCTGGCTGCCATACCCTGAGATGATCTTGATCCCAGCAGTTTTTAGATGCTGATCTGGAGAGGCCTTGTACAACTTGTGGCTTTTCTCTGTGCCTGCCTTCTCCCCAACCTCCATGAGGCTCATCCCTTCCTGTGACTGTGCATTGGACTCTCCCCTCCCCCCAGGCTCAGAGCCCTTCCTCTTTTAGCTTCTCAACAGATGATGACAATGATGTGGAGGTGGAGGCCCTGGAGGGGGACTCAGAGCTCAATCTGGTCACCGAGGTATGGGTGGAGCCACAGTATGGGCGAGTGGGACCTGGCCCTGGAAGCTGGAAGCACCTCCAGGATTTGACATACTCTGAGATCCCTCAAGCTGTGAGTGACCTCAGAACAGTATCCCCACCTTTTACTGGATTGGGGTCCCGTCTCTTTTGGAGTACTATGGACTGTGGGTTTTCTGGTCCCTCTGAATGTCTGGGACTGTTGGGGGTCTTGGAGACCCAGAGGCCTGGGTATTCTGGGCTAAGAGAGATTAACTCCTGACCTCTAATTTTCCTCCTCTAGCTCCACCCACGGGATGCTGCTTGCATAGGCTCTATGCTGAGCTTTGAATACCTGATACAGCTGTGCCAAAGCAAGGAATGGGGTCCTCTGCCCCCAGAGCCTAGGGTCTCAGATGGTCAGTAGGGAAGGTGGCCCCCTGGGTGGAGTAGGGGAATGGATAGGGAGAAGGCAGTCCCAGACAGGTAATCTGGGGGCTTACTATGTGTCCTGTCTTTCTTCCCTTCCTCCTAGGATTGGACCAGGGAGAAGACACTTGTGTCCATGAGATTCCTTTCCATTTTGACTTAATGGGATTGTTGCCACAGTGCCAGCAGCTCCAGATGTTCTTCCTTTTGCTTTCCAGAGGTGGGTGAACTTTGTACTCATTCTCCTCACAACTATAGGGTCAGCAAGTCTGGGAGTATTAGACAATAGTGAACAGATGAGAGATGGGGGCAGGAAGAGGCTATGAGGCTGAAGTGGGGGCCTTGCTGTTCAGGGCTGAGCCGGGGCACTGGGCAGCAGTAGGCTCTTGGTGCTGAGCCGAGTATGTGTCGGGCAGAGCCAGAGGGTGTCCCTCTCGCCGAGGGGCCCTGTCCCGCCAACGACATGGTGCTGTGCCTGCTGCACAGCTGCCTGGGGCAGGAGCTGAGTGACCGAGAGATCCCGCTGACCCCTGTTGACCAGGCTGCCTTCTTGAGTGAGGTGCTGCGGCGAACCTGCCACAGTCCAGGTGAGCTCCCCACCTTCCTAATACCAAACTCTGGCCCAGCCCCTTTTCCCCATCCTCACAGAGTGGGTTCTGTCTTTGAGTTTTGGGCTTTCCTCTCCTCCTGCTATCTTTAACTCAGAATCTTGCTCTCTTCCACCCATCTCTACCCCCATCACAGGTGCAGAGGGGCCACCAATGAGGAGCCATGGAATCCTGAAGGATGAAGCAGTTGGCAGCGCCCAGGCCACTGGAGACTCAGCTTTTTTTACCCTGGTCAGCACTGGTTCTTTTCCCTGAGCCCTTGTCACACTGACCTCCTTCCATCACCACATCTCCATGCCCCGACTTTCTATCACCGTTGAGACTAAATGCCTCTGCCGGTGACACAATGTTGTCATTTTTCTTTGTCCTGGGTCTTTCAAGCTATATCTAAGATGAGTCAGCTCTAGGGTGGAAGAAGGGAAGGGAGGTTGATTGTTTTCTAGTACTTTAATTTTCTGTTTCTCTCTTACAGAGTGTAGGTTTTCCTGAAACTCTCAAGCCTCTCATCTCTGCCCAGCCCCCTCAGTGGCGCTGCTATGCAAGGCTTGTGACCCCCCAGCATGTGTTTCTGACTTTTCTCCCAGCTACCTTCTCAGGTACCAGCTGCTGACCTTCCTTAGAAACCCCCTCAGATACAAACCCCAGAACTCCCTCACCAGCCCACCAGGCAGCTCTGATTTATGTCTCTCTTTTCCTCTTCAGATGTCCAGCATCTAGCTGCCTATAGCCTTGAGGAATCCTCTCAAGAAGAGACGAAGCCTAAGTTTGGGGATTGGAGTGGGGCCCCCAGTCTGAGAGATCTGGGCGGAACTGGTATCAGGGCTACGAGGTCCCAAGTCCCCATCCTCAGTGTAACCCTAGCTGGTGGTAAGGCTGCTTACTCAAGTTGGGTAGGAGCAGAATGGGAAACAAATAGAGAGTGAAAGACCATGTGGCACCTTTCTCCACAGACAATGCCCAGAGTCAAGGAGAGCTGAGCCCACCCTTCCGACGGGACTTACAGGCTTACACTGGGCGTCAGGCTTCCCAGACAGAGGGTGCAGATGGACCCCGGAGCCGGTGTCCTGTCTACATCTACAGCTGTTCACTGGAAGCGCTAAGGGAGCTTATGGTTGGCATGCAGCCCCCTCAGGTGCCCCGAGACCTCATCTTCCGGTGAGTACCCTCCTTCAGTATTAACCAATATCCTTCCCTAGCCATGGCTTCCAGCCAAGGCTTAGATACACACTCATGGGTATGGACAGACAGGCTGATGGTCAGTGGCAGGAACTCAGCTTTTTAGCCACATCCTGCCAGCTCCTTCCTTGACTTCTCTGAGCAAGTCAGTTAAACTTGCTAGGCCATGAGTACATTTGGTAAGAGTCTGTTGGTAATCCGCTGGAATCTGGGTGGCTGAGTCTGAGGTATCACTTAGGGAGTTGGCTGAGCTCTTTATTCCTCCCATTCCTAGGACTCAGTTCATCAACCACCCCTCCCCATCCTCAACCTGGATGGAGCCCAGGTACAAGGAGGCAGCCAACCACTGTGCCTTGCTGCAGGAGCATGCACAGCAATGCTATGTTCGTGGTGAGTCGGAAGGCCGTATGAGGGAGGAGTGGGCTCGGAGGGAGAGATGCAGGGATTACAGGGGTACCTGTAACTGGAAAGGCCATTGTAGAGCTTGAGCCTCATGGCCCCTTCCACTTCCATCAGGGCTTTTCCGGAGCTTGCAGCAAGCACAGAGTGTAACCTCCCAGGATTTGCTGACAGCGGTAGATGCCTGTGAGGAGCTACTGCAAGAAGTAGACATCACCCCTTTTCTGCTTGCACTGTGTGGCCACACTTGGGGTTTGCCTCATGCCCCACCAAGCCCTGGTCCTCTCAGCCCTGGGCCCTTCAGCAGCAGCATCGAGGAGGGCCCCGAACCTCGGGAACGAGCTATCCTAGCTTCTGAGTCCAGGTTAGGATTGTACTTGCATCATGTCTTAGGGACACACAGACCAAGTCCCTATAAACAAAGACCTTCCAGTCCAGGGAAATGGCGATTTAAGGCAGTGCCTAGGCACCAGAGAAGCAGTAGTGCTTTGTCACTGTCTACCTGCCTCCACATAGCCTTCTTTCTCCCATTTGGCATGGGTAGCAGTCTCACTCCTAGGCCTTGCACATCTCTCATACTTTAGTGTGGTGTAATGAGCTGGGTCAGGCATAGTAGCTCCTGGTTTCCAATAGTGAAAGTAGAGACTGGTTCTGAGGACATTCATACAATAGTAGTAATCTTCCCAACCAATCTGTGAACTTCATAGGAGCCAAGACTGTGTTATGCTCACTGCTTACCCAGCTTACCAAAGGGGCTCAACAAGTTTTTATTGGAGGGAGGGAGGGAGAGAGGGAAGGAGGGAGGAAAAGAGAGAGAGGGAGGCAGGCAACTATGGGTCTAGCAATTATGAGCATTGAGGAGGCAGAAGAACCAGAAAGATAGACATACGCATGACTCCTAGGTCAGAACCCCAGCCCGGTTTCCTCTCTGGAGCTCTAGATACCCCACCTTTCATGCCCCCAAATGAATGCATTTTCTTCCCATCAAACCTTGTTTCTCCATCTGTCTTCCCAATTCATGGTGAAAGATGCCACCTTCTACCCAGTGATTCAAGTCAAAAACTGGGAGTCCTTACTCTTTCACAGAAATGCCCGGCCATTAAGAAATGTGGAGGTAGCCAGGCTTGGTGACTCAGCCTGTAATCCCGCACTTTGGGAGGCTGAGGTGAGTGGATTGCCTGAGCCCGCAGGTTCAAGACCCACTTGGGCAACTTGGCAAGACCTCATCTTTACAATAAATCAAAAATTAGCCGGGCCTGGTAGCATGCGCCTGTAGTTCCAGCTACTTGGAAGGCTGAGGCGGAAGGATTGCCGGAGCCCAGCAGGTCGAGGCGGCGGTGGCCGGGAGCGGCCACTGCACTCCAGTCTGGGCGACAGAGTGAGACTCCAACTCAAAAAAAAAAAAGAAATGTGGAGATTATAGCCAAAATGGGTTGGTTCTCCTTGCCTTTTTCACTGCCCGTGCCATTGTGCTGAGCACCTGTCCTATAGACAAAGAGATAGGTGTGTGCTGCTCCCCAGTTGGGAAGCAGTCTCCTCCAGGACTTGATGATTCTTAACACTTCAACAACCCTCATCCCGACCTCTCAGCATAGAGACCGAGGACCTAAGTGAGCCTGAGTTTCAGAGCACCCGTGTTCCTGGCAATCCAGACCCTGGCCCGGAGATCTCTCTAACAGACGTCTGCCAGCTCAAAGGAGAGGCACATGATGCCCTTCATAGCCTCATCCAGGTGAGAAGCTTGGGTGAGAGTATAAGAGGCGTGGAACCCTGCCTATACAGTACTCTCCCCTAGGTTGGGGATATGCATGTGTCCTAGTGTAGGAGATGGTATCCACTATGGCTTCTTTCTAAACCCTGCAACAGGAGAAGTTCCTGGAGATCAGTCGTCTCCACTTCCGCACAGTGCCCTCCAATCCTCACTACTTCTTCTATTGCCCTCCATCAAGCAGGCGAGAAGTGAGTGGTTTTCTTCTTTACCTCCCTTATGACTCAATTTATAGACCCAGAAGCCCACCCAGATCCTTTTGAATCTTGGTTCCCTGAGGCCTGGATGTGGCTCTTGTCCTACCATAGATCAAGCTATCTTTTTGTTTTGCCCAGGATGAAGGTCCTCGGGACATGGTAGACAGAAAAGTCAGTGACCTGGAGTTTTCAGAGGCTGAGCTCATAGGTGAAGAAGGTGTGTGAGCAAGTGGGTCAAGGTGTGGGAAAGGCTGCTTCAAGCCAGGACTCAGGGCCTCCACTGCTGGCCTCTCCCATTGACCACGTGACATGCATCATTAGGAGACACATCTGCTTGCTGTGTGGTCACTGAGAGTGACCCAGAGCTGGAGGTGGAATACCGTGAGAGCCGTGAACCAGACCTGGGGCCTGCTGGACTGGACTCCGCCTCGCTGTCAGATGCAGACACTGTAAATCCTGATGAAGACTCCTTCAGTATCTTGGGGGGTGACTCACCCACTGGGCCTGAGAGCCTCATGCATGACCTGCCACCACTTTTTCTGCACCTCACGTGTTCTGTGCGACTGCGTGGGCAGCACAGCTCAGTACCTGTGTACAGCCTGCCTACCTGTTTGGGTGAGTTTGGGTAGTCCATGGGAAGGACAAAGATCCCAGTATAGCCTGATGCCTGTCTGGGGGTAGAAGAGAGCCTAGAAATATCACTCTTTAGCACTTAGAACGTGTACTTGCCTTAAGTCCAACTTTCCCCCTCTCCCAGGCCAGGTGCTGTCCAGTCTGGAGGGGCCTCCCATTGGAGGCCGAGTTCCCCTGAGGGACCTCAGTGTCACTTTGGATGTCTTTGTGCTGACCTTGCCCCTGGAAGTGGAGCTCCCCACGGCCTCCGACCCTCAACACCACCGGTGTGGCAGCAAGTTTGTTGGGGGTATCTGGGACCTTGCTAGGGTAGAGGGGCCATTAAATAAATCTGGGCACTTCAAAGTCTAGGGATTTTGAAGAATCTAAGGAAAGAGTGATGAGGAGGCCCTGGAAGGGTAGTAGCTGCTGACCTTTGACTTTTTTGCTCCCACGCTGTTCAGGTCAACATCTGAGAGCAGTGCTTCATTCCCACGATCCCCAGGGCAACCATCATCTTTAAGGTCAGATGATGGCCTGGGGCCCCCACTGCCACCCCAAGAAGAAGAGAGGTACTTTCTTATCTTTCTCTCTGAGTTCCTTGCTCCCCTTCAGTTTTGTTTTCTAGAAACTGTATCTAAACCTATCTTCCCTTTAGGCATCCAGGACTATCCAATTTGGCCACACCCCACAGACTGGCTATTGAGACCACTATGAGTGAGGTGAGGGCCCCCAATGCTGTAACTCATACCCTTTTCATTCATACGAGTGAGATAAGCTACCCCCTTCCTTCTGGGGTTGAAGTGGACCTCCCTCAGTCTGTGAGTCAAATTGTCTCCAGTCTGGGAGTAAGGGGATGGCCCAACAAGCAAGGGAGATGTCCTTTGCTACTTCCTGGATTGCTGTCTCACCATAGATCCGCTGGCTGTTGGAAGATGAGATGGTGGGTGCTCTCCGAAAAGGGGGCCTCCCCCAGAGCCCTGCCCTGCACCGTGCAGCTGCCCACATTCATAGCTCTCCTGGACGCTCCACCTGCCTTCGCCAAACGCTGCCACTGAGTTTTGTGTTTGGGCCAGAGCGTTCCCTCACACAATTCAAGGAGGTAAATTGCCCTCAGAACACATCATGGCCACCTTGGGGCCCGTCATTCCCTGGGCCCCAGGCACAGAACTGAAAGGCCCTCTCTTAGTTTGAGTCCATATTATCCCCCATCTTCCTTCTTCACCATACTGTCTGCCCTCACCCCTATGCCTGGAGACCCAACTCAGGAAAGAAACCCAGCTTTCACCCTTGTCACTGAACCTCTTGAACCTTAGGCAAGTCACTGAACCTTTTCTTGCCTCAGCGATGGGGATGCCAGCATCTGCCTCACCAGAAAGTTTGGAGTGTCTAATGGGGACTTGAGGGGCATCATGTATAGGGACGGCTGCTCCCACCTAAACTATGACCTTGGCTCCTGCTCCCTAGGAGTTCCGCTGTCTCCACGTCCCTGGCCATGTTCTTCTTGAGGACCTTGACAGTGGCTTCTTCTTTGTGGCAGCTGGTCAACAGCCAGGTGGGTTCCATGGGGAGCCTTCGTCAGCGGCCTGGGCTTGGCACAGCCATGAGGACAGGGCTGAAGGCATCGAAGGGGAGGTGAGTCTGACCTGGGAATGGAGGGGGATGGTGGGTGTGTGGGGCCTATACCTCAATCCTGACTTCCTTCCCCTCAGGCCCTCACAGCCAGCCCCCAAGCCCCTGGATCCCCAGAGGATTCTGAGGGTATCCCTCTCATCAGCCTGCCACAGGGAGGTAAGAGAGAACTTGGGCAGCAAAGTCTAGGGCCAGGACCAGGGACTTGTAGAAACCTGGCCCTGCTCCCATTTTTGGAGGGTGGCCCTAGGCAGGATTGAGAGAAGCTCCCGTCATTTTCCTTCTCTATCTAGGGAGTCAGCCAGGGCCCAACCGGGGACTAAGCCTCATGTCAAGTCAGGGCAGTGTGGATTCAGACCACCTAGGTAAGCTGGGAGCAGTGGTTGGAGGACTCTAAGCTAATGGAAGATGGGCTCAGGGCTACACAGGGGATGGTCCGGGCAGGGGGCATCAGAAGGGACTAATCTGAAGAGGACCATCAAGCCTGATGCACTTGGAGGTGAGTCAGACCCAGTCTAGTATGGGATTGAATTTTAGTACATCTGACACAGGTTATGATGGCGGCAGCAGTGGCTCAGACAGTGAAGGTCCCAATGAGACCCTCAGTGAGAAGACCCCCTTCACACTGCGGATGCCACCTGGACCAGCACCTCCACAGCCTTCACTCTCAGGCCTCCCTGGGCCCTGCCTGCCTGACTTCTGGCTCATTGTCCGGGTACTGCAGGACCGTGTAGAAGTATATGCACATGCACGGTAAGTAGAAGCCGGACCTGCATCCTTATGCTTTTGTTAACCTCTTTTTCCTGTTCCCTCAACACCTCTCTCCAGTGTATTAAGATTAAGACTTGCAACTGAGAGCTTGGGTAGGGATCTGACTTGGGTAGGGATTCTCAGACTGGGGGTTCCAGATCACTTCCCAAATCTTATAGCAACGCACGTCACTTTCTTCTTTTTTTTTTCCCCCACAAGAGGGATATGGCTAAGCACATTATTTTTGACTTTTTTAATGGAAAGTGATTGAAAAGCTGATGGGGATATTGGCTTCTAGCTGAGAATTAAGAACATCTATGGTTCAAAGCAGCTTCAGAAGTTAATATGTAAAAATAAGGCATAATAGCTAATTTTTTGTTTTATTTTATTTTAAAGATGTGGGGTACAACTCAGGATTAGGTAGATTAAGTAGTCATCGCACAGGTAAATTTTGGTCCTCCCTTTGGTCCCCACTTCACCTGGAATAGCTAATACTTAATAAAGTGCAAACTATGTCGCAGGCACTGGTCTAGTGTTTGACAGGAATCAGTTTATTTAATCTATATAACAACACTACAAAGTAGTATTATCCTTATCATACGGGCAAAAAAACTCAAGCACAGCTAAGTTAAGTACTTGCCCAAGGTCATAATAAGTGGCAGAGCCAAGATTCATACAGGGGTATTGGTTAAATACTGCTCTGATCTTGGGAGTGAGTAGGGTGAGCAGCAATAGGGTAGGTTGAGAAGAAGGGAAGACCACCATTCTGACAAAGAAGATTTGAGAAAAAAGAAGAGGTACATAGCGTGATGGATGCCTCAGTGTGGTACCTGCATGAGGCAAGCATGGAACCTAAGCTTTCAGAACTGCTTGAGAATTCCATTCTTCCCATTTCCCATGAGGTGTACCCTTTGTTCAGGCCTGCCTCCTTTTCATGGTTCTGTTGGCCCCATCTCCGTGACTTCCCTTCTTCTTCATGATACATATAACCCTTTCCCCACTGTAATTCTAGTCAGACCCATCCTTCCTTTCCAGGAGCCTGATTCGGGAGGATGGAGGACCAGGCACCGAGTGTCGCCACCTGCAGCAGCTCCTGGTGAGGCGAGTTGGAGAGATCTGCAGGGAGGTCAACCAGGTAAGGGGCAGAGCTTGCCAGGCTTTGAGACACAAACCACATGAGAAAGGAGTTTTTAGGGACTTGACTTTCAGAGGCTGTTGGTCTGTCTCAGACTCAACAATAACTATGGGAAGTCTTCTTTGACGCCCCCGGTTAGTGGGATGCTGATACTCCCCCAACTCCCTACAAACTTGGGAGCTGTCCACAACCCACTCTCAGTTACAGTGGGTTACTCTTTCATGCCCTTTCTCAGTAACTATAAAAGGTTCCTTCTCATTGCACTGTGCTAACATTAGCAGTATAAGACAGAGGGACACTAACTCTTTGTAGCTTATATAGAGTTGAGGAGATGGATGTTGAGCAACTAAGTTATACAAATTCTTCCAATTACAAGAGAGAAGAATTTTACAAAGGAAAAATAGAAGCTGCTATAAGAGCATGTAACAGGGATCTGACTATCTGAAGTATCAGGGAAGCCTTCTTAGAGGAGTAGATTTTTAAACTGAGACCCAAAAGATGGTGAACTGATTCTGGCAAAGAGGAAGGACAAGTGTTTCTAACTGAGGATCACTCTCAGAGTCCTCAACTCTGTGACTGGGGGACAGTATCTCTGACCTCCCAGTGATGACTGATACTCTTTTTGACCTCTGACTCCCAATGATAGTGGGCATTCTTTCTGGCCTTTGATCACCCCTGATTACCACCACCCACTTATGAGGAGATATTTCCCTTCCCTGACACCTTGCTTCTTCTACCAGCGACTGCTTCTTCAGGACCTTCATGACAGTCACGTGTGTAACTCTCTTCTGGTGGCTGAGAGTGAAGAAGATCTGTGGCGCAGTGAGACCCCCTTCCATTCCCGTCAGCGGGCACCACTGCCCAGTGATGGTGAGATCCCACCCAGCAGCCTCCCTCATGGGGTGGTGCTGCTGCCCTGGCTTTTATCCGATACCTTGGTGAGAAGCTGAGGGCAGAGTCCCCATTAGTTGGCCATCTGTGCGAAATAATAGAGAGCGAGCAAGGAGGAAAGGACAGAAAAGGATCACTGGATTTGGCTGCTGTGCGTTCATCGGTGATGTTCAGGAAAGTAGTGTCGTCAATGGAGAGATGGGAATAGAAACCAGATGAAATTGAAAAGTGAAAGAAGATGATAGATGGGTGGAGCATCTATCAAGTAGCTTGTCAGTTAAGGGATGTGGCAGTGACTGAAGGAGGATGGGGACAAAGAAGGAACTTTAAATAAGGCAGAGACTAGAGCATGTTCAGGTTCCACAGGGAAAGAGCCAGTAAGTAGAGAGGGAATAGATCACTGAAGGGGCACCAGGCTGTGACCTGTGTTTCTAAGGGCAGGCCTCTGCCTGGCTCTGACTTGATCATCTTTCCCTGCCAGGGAATGGACAGGGATGAGGAGTCCCAGGGATATGAGAACAAATAGGCTGGTTCAAAGAAGACCAGAGGGGAGGAATCTTGAGGGCCAGTAGAACTGGCCTTCTGATTGACTGTTCCTCCAGACAGGCAACCACAGGATCCCTTTGGGTTTTCTGGTCTTTGTGAGGAAATGTGATAATCTACTCATGATAATAATTGAAGTTTCAACACCTCTACTACCTCCTATTACTTTTGAAGACCTCTCACTCCAATTCATAGAGGAATCGCTAAACCATGTCATTCCTTTGCAGTTCTCTCTTCTGGTAAAATCAGACCACTCCTTATTTTTAACATTCCCAGCTAGTCTGTAGACAAACGTTTCTGACATTTCCAGGAGAGTGCATCTCTCAGCATATCCTGGGATGTACTCCATATCAAAGCAGAATCCCCATAATTAGTGGACTCCTATGGTTTTGAAGGTGTCTCTGCAAATTGTGAATGAGCTAGGACAGCCAAGCACTTTTACTTCAAAATGACTTCCAGCAACCTGAGATATAAGACCAGTCAGAACCCAGATACAAGCTCTTCCTCATTGTAGTCTCTCCAGATTTTTTTCCTTGAAACCCTTAGCAACCAGCATTCCATTCCAGAGTCTGCATAGAAACTGCAGCCTCCTGGATAGCCTGGATGCTGTTCATACTGACAGCAACTTCTCTGGGAAACCAGACTGGCACTTCAACCTACTGGAAGGTGCCCTGCCAGCCTGGAAAGGAAAAATAGAGGCTGCTATGAGATCTGACTATCTGAAGTATCAGGGAAGCCTTCTTAGAGGAGTAGATTTTTAAGCTGCAG